GTCGCTCGGATTAATTTTATTATTTCTTCAAGGTTCTTCACATACGTACACCTTAAGAGATATCAAGTAGGCATAACATGTTCTCAAAAAATTAGGGTTGGCATGCAGAAGAATTTTGAGTCAGAGATTTTGGTTTTGGCACGCACTCACAAAAAGGTTGCTCACCCCTGCACTAGATGGACAATGGGGTTGTCACCAAAGACCAAAATACAGCAATACAGTGGCCAGAACAGTTCTGGGAACTGTTCATTTCTGGAGAAGGTAGGGTGGAGGGGTAAGCAGAGAGCCACAGACATCTGATTTCTGCTGTATGGATGGTGACAGACAGAAGTAAGGCTAGCTGCTACCAGTGCTGCATCCCACTACTGCGAAAAGCACCTGTTGCCTTTACTCAAAGAGGAACAGCCACAGGAGTTCTTCACTAATTTTAACAACAGCGGTCGCCAACCTGTGGTCCATGAGGTCCGAAAGGTTGGCGACCGCTGGTCTAGAAGATGTGTACATCTGTGCGGAACAGAGCTCCATACTCTGTAGACACCATTCCACAATCTGCTTACCTACCTCTCTATGGGAAGGACAACTGAGCAGCAAAGAGAAGTGAAAATACAGGAGTCAATAAGTTGTTTTTGTGGATTTGAAGTCACCTGACACCACCACTCAAAAACAAATGCTCCATGTTAAAGCATCCAGACCCTTTCCTAAATGAGCAACTCTCAGACAAAAGATCTAACTAACACCCTCTCCACACTGAAGGGGCAGGGCCATGGGTATTTTCACAATCATTTCTTCTTACACTGCAAGCTGAGAAATGTTGAGAAATATGATGAAAAAAGTGAAAAATATCAAATCAAGACTTTTGCACTTTTTTAGAATATATTTTTCCCCAATTTTCCTCCTGAATGGTTTTATGATGTTGATAAAATGGCTATTATTCTTAATGCTTTTCCAACATTTTTTCTTTTTATTTTTTCTTGTGTTTTATTGGGATATAGCTGACACACAAGTTTAAAGTATACCACAGAACTTGACTTATGTTGCAAAATGATAACTACAATAAGTTTAATTAACATTCATCATCCCAAATAGATACAAGAAGGAAAATAAAAGAGAAGCCAAATGTCTTTTTCCTTGTGATGAGAACTTCTGGGATCTGCTCTCTTAGACAATTTTTTAAAAACAGGTTTGTTTGTTTGTTTGTTTGTTTGTTTTTAAATATATTTTATTGATTTTTTACAGAGAGGAAGGGAGAGAGATAGAGAGCTAGAAACATCGATGAGAGAGAGACATCGATCAGCTGCCTCCTGCACATCTCCTACTGGGGATGTGCCCGCAACCCAGGTACATGCCCTCGACCGGAATCGAACCTGGGACCTTTCAGTCCACAGGCCGACGCTCTATCCACTGAGCCAAACCGGTTCCGGCTGTTTGTTTGTTTTATTGATTTCAGAGAGGAAGGGATAAGGAGAGAGAGAAACATCAATGATGAGAGAGAATCAGTGATTGGCTGCCTCCTGCACGCCCCCTACTGAGATCGAGCCTGAAACCCAGGCATATGTCCTGACCAAGAATTAACTGCCATCTCCTGGTTCATGGGTTGATGCTCTACCACTGAGCCACACTGGCTGGACTTAGCAATTTTAGAATATACCATATAGCAGTGTTAGCTATAGTCATCATGTTGTACATTACATCTCTATATTATTTTCTTGTATCTGCAGAAGTTTCAGAACTAAGCGTTCGAGTGAGGACACCTAAAATACTTAAAGTCTATTTTACCTTTTATGTAATAGTTCCTCAGCTGGGTCAAGACCCCTAGTATCCCTGCAGTCTTCTTTTTTATTCCTGTCTGTCTTGGGAACTATTCTGGTTTTATCACTCACTCTGTCTCTTAAAACATGGAGCCCAGAAGTGATGTAATAGATGTGAATGAAATACTTTCTTCTCTTTTTTAAAGAAATGAACATATGGAATAGTGGCATATACTAAACTTGCAATTAACTAAAATCCCCCAAATCTTTCTCTCAAACCACCACCACATGAGGGCCCATCCACTTTTCTGACCTGAAACATAGGATTTTATTCTTGCCCATTTACCCAATTTCATCTAATGCCAATGAATTCCAACTAGAAGAGACTCCTTAGTCACTGACTGTAGTCATTTCTCAAGAATAATTCCCCTCTGGACTAAGTCATTCTAAGTTCAAAAATAATTTAGGAACTGGAAAATAAAAAAAGGCCATTTTAGTCTATGGAAGGAAAAAAAGTAGAAGAGCAAATTAGCTGCTGAACCTATTTTAAGTTTCTTCAATTCTGCATGAGTTTTATTTTTTTTAAGGCAACACAATTTCTCATATATAACTAAAAATTTTACTATTTTTAAATATATTTGTTGCCAGGCTGGTGTGGCTCAATGGTTGAGTGTCGACCCATGAACCATAGGTCACCAGTTCAATTCCTGGTCAGGGCACATGCCCAGTTTTTGGGTTCGATCCCCAGTATGGGGCGTGCAGGAGGCAGCTGATCAATGTTGATGTTTCTCTCTCATGGATGTTTCTATCTCTCTATCCCTCTCACCTCCTCTTTCTCTCAAAAAAAGCAATAAAACAAGTTGATATATATATATATTATATATATATATATATAATATATATTTGTTATAATGATGATGCACATTATTGAATGACAATCATTAATATATATCAAACATTTTCTACAGGACAAGGAACATGCTCAACTTTTTTATGCATTATCTCAGTTAAGCACAACCATCCTATGAAGGAAGTAATAATATTATACATATTTTTACCAATGACAAAACAAAGGTTTAGAGAAATTATCTAAAGACTTGACAATATATGAAGTTTTGTTGATTTTAAGAAAAGATGTTTAAGTGTCATTTTTGTGATATAGTTTAATAAAATAAGGGGGAAATAACCTCCATATATAAATAGGAATTGGAAATGGTTATTTTCTGATGATTTCACAAGCACCTGCTTCAAGTAATTTTGCCCAATTTATTATACTATCACAATTATACTAGCCACTGTTAAGTAATGGCTACTGCAAAATCTGAACAATGTATTAAGGTAAATCATTTCTGTTACATGGACACACATGTATTTGGGACACCATGTATTTGGGTTACTATGCATTAGGATAATCTAAAATAAAGACACTCCCTTAATAAGAATATTACAAGTAAACTGATTCCTTCCTGTCAGAAATTCACTTAATTCTGGTTCAACTCTCATTCTGATTCATTAAAATGGAACCATTAATTATTGATCGAGTTCATCAAGCAACTGCAATTTTGCTGTGTGCAGCCAAATTTTATAAGGTAGCTCTTTAAATGGGTTATTTTTCTCTTCAATTCTGTACATATTCTTTTATGTAGAACTGAAATGTGGAACTTGCAACATCCATATAAATCATGAATCAGAATAAAATGAAAAAGAAAATTATTATTAACACTTGTCCAATAAGTATAATTAAAGTGCATGATCTTAAATATCTGGAATCTCTGAAATAAATAAAAACAGAATCCAAAGAAAATAATGAAAAAATTAAACACACCCAGAGCATTATCCTAAAGTCAGACTGAGTAGAAGCATGGTTGAAAAAGTGGAGGTCAATTAAAAAGCTCCACATCTATGCTAAAGTACAGTGTGTTCTTCAGATAACATCCAGAGTGGAAGAACAAACCAGAAGGAGGTAGCCACTAGCAGGCACTGATTCACTTAAAAATATATATTATTTTTATATGTAAAAGTGTCTGAAAAGTGAAACACTACTAATTATTAGATGACACACACAGGTTATTTTTGCCTATAAATTCACTTGAGAAATATTAACAAAAGCCCATAGCTGTAATATATTCCCAACCACTTGGATTTTTCTAATCCCTTGCCTGTTTTCTGTTCCTACCAGGTCCTCTCATCTAATATAAACTTCCTAATACACAGTTAAAGCCACCACTAATAAGAACTAACACACTGAGTGTGTATTAAGTGCCAGATACTGGAGAGTCAGAGAAGCTAACCAAGAGCCAGAGCAGGTTGTCTTTGTGGGTTTTCCTCCTACACTCTTAGAGATTGCATTTTAAACTAATCTTAAAAGCATAGGGAACACAACAAAATCTAGAGAAATGCATTGAAAAAACTGGACAACTAACTGTGTTTAAAATGCACTGAAAATAGGGGGTATCACTGACACTTGTGTTTACAAAATGCTGGTATACAGAAGGCCACAGAAGATCTTTCTATAGGGGACGGGCAGGCAATTCTACTCCCAAGGCCTCCCAAGGATGTGCAAATTCTGCAGTCACAAGAGAATCCATGTTCAGGAGGGCCCTGTACTCAGAAGGTAGAGTCTTGGCACTTGGTTGAATCCTCTGCTTGAGCCAGGAACCTGCCACATCTCTTCTCTTCCACATCCAGTCAGTCACAGGTCCTGCTGACTCTGCCTTCTAAATATTCGTCCAACTGTGTCCACCCTTCTCCATTTCAACTGCCACTTTTTGTCAACTCCTCCCAGACTTAACCAGCAACCTAACTGGCCTCCCTCCTTTAATTCTACCCCCAAACTAGTTTATAAAATGAATAATTTTTCTAAATGGCATATGTAATCCAGCATAAAATCATTTCTCCTCTTAAAATAATCTAATGGCTGCCTGGCCGGTGTTACTCAATGGTTGAGCATCGACCCATGCACCAAGAGGTCACAGGTTCGAACCCTGGTCAGGGCACATGCGGGGTTTCTCGCTTGATCCCTGGTATGAGGCATGCAGGAGGCAGCTGATCAGTGTTGATGTTTCTCTCTCATCAATGTTTCTATCTCTCTCTCCCTCTCCCTTCCTCTCTCTCTAAAATCAATAAAAACATATTTAAAAAAATCAGTGGCTGCCCACTGACTTGAGCAAGATATAGTGAGATTATTTTTCTCTTTAATTCTTTAAAAATTTATATGGATGTTTCTTAGTTCAGCATCTGTACTTCTTTCAGGAACATTATTTCTCTTCTGGGAACTCCCCTACTGCCATCCCCTGAAATGATATACTTACCATGTGAGCTGGCACCTGACCCACGCTGGGTGAGTCAAAGCCTTCCCTTGATATTTTGTTAGGTTGGAGGAAGCTGCAAACTGTCAAAACCCAAAAGCTGTCAACATCCATGATTCCTGCCAACTAGGGAAAGTGCTCAACGCTAAGAGAGTATTAGGAAATGAAGAGCCTTGGCAGTTTGACTTTCTGGCCCAGCTCTCTGAGGCCCACCTTTCTATTTAACTCTTGCTTAGACTCTTGAGGAGCTGATCAACTCCTCTTTTTGCCCAAGTCAGGCGAAGCTGTGTTTCTATCCTTTGCTGTTACACACGACCATCTCAAGGCACTTTATTAATTAGTTCCTACTTCTCCACTCATCCTATCTCTCCTTGTACCTCACACACATATTTTAAAATAAAATGCGTAATAGTCCACTAATTCAACATGCTATTTCACGCGTCTTCCTCTGCACACACAATTGTCTCTGCATCTCCAGTTCCAATTCTGGAGTCATCTTCTCATCTTTCCTAACTCTCTGGTCAGAGCCAAGTAACCACATGTTGCTTTCCAGCAGCCTGTGCAGTAAGTTCACGCTCTTACTTTATAGGGTTGCTGTGACATCAAAATGTGATGAGAATTTAACAACAGTGTCTAGCGCTTGATAACTGTCAGCTGTATAATCATGATCCGTGAAAACAGAAACGAAGTAAACTCCTTTTTTTTTTTTTTTGCATTCCCAACACCTGGTACAACGTCAGTCCCAGAGAATACGACCCAGGATTTGTTTGCTTGACTTTTAAAGAACAAGCCAAGGAGAGCTGGACAGGAACGCAGCACTCCTCCCATGAGCTCATGGCGTAAGTCACAGCACAGAGCATCGGACCACGCGTTCGCCAGGCTGACGGGGCCGGGCCGCCCTGGCCCCTTGCAGGCCGCCCTGGCCGTGGGCAGGAAGGAGGCACTCGGACTAACGGGGTTTCCGGTCACTGGAGTTTACCCGCCTTGCAGACGAGGGGTAAGCCTACTAGGAAATGACCGCATCGGAGTTCCGAGTGGCCATTACCCCGAGCTCTGGAAACGCGCCTTCTCAGCACGTTTCCCGGGAAATCTCCACCAGCGGGCGGAAGCCGGACGCTCCCAGGGCGCCAGCGCCCACCGCCGGCCACTCTGGCAGGACACCCACTGCCCCTCCCGGACGGGGACGCAAGATGGCCAATCGCTGCTCAGTTCTCCGCGGGCCCAAGAACAACTTCGCGCCCACCCTGAGGATGCGGGGCCCACCCCGCGGGGATCGCGGTAAGCCAGGAGCTGTGGCCAGTGTCCAGGTGCCGGCCAGGACACTCACTTATTTAAACATGAATGAGAAGAACTGAGGGACTGGGAGGCGCGCCGTGTTCTGCGGCAGCAGCGGAGGTGGCAAGAGAAAGGGAACTGAAGTGTGCAAACCGCAGAAACCCGAGCCGCCTTCCCCAACGGCCGCCCCCGCAGCGCCTGACGCCCCAGAGCGTCCGAGAACCGACCGCCCCGGGCGGCTGCGGCGCGGCCCCTCCCGCCGGCTTCCCGGCCGCGGCGGCCTCCTCTCTTCCCTCCCTCCCCTCCCTCCCCTCCCGTCTCCACCCGGCTGCGGCCGACTGTACCCGAGGATGGCTTCGGATCCGCCGCGCTCCTCTCAGCCCAGCTCGCGGCCTGCGTGAGGAGGACGAGGAGAAGGAGGCGAGCCATGCTGCTGCGGACGGACGGGGTGCGGCCCCGAGCGGCTGCGGGCGTCTCCCGCCGGCCCCGCGGCCCGGGCCTCCTCTTACTTCCGCCACCGCGGACCGAGCTCTAGGAGGCAGGGAGTGGACAGTGCGAGATGAGAACCAGAGGCGGGGCCAGACGGCGGGAAGGGGCGGGGCCATGGGCGGGGCCACGGGGCGGGGCGGGGCCAAGGGTGGGCCCTGGACGTGAGCTGCGAGGCTGGAGACCGCCCAGGACTGGATCCAGGGCTGGGAAGCGGAATTGGCACAAAAAGGCAAGGAGAGGCCGATTTCGAGGTATCAAGGCGTCAGGGGCAAGACCGTCTGGGGTCGCCACCTGGGTTTCTCAGGAACCTGGGTACAAAGGTTACTGTTTGTTGTTGTTTTCCTTGCTTGGCACCACCCCCCACGATTCTACTTCCTATTTTCTCAGTATCCTGGGGTTGAAAGCTTTGCCCTAGGCCACAACCCAGCCACATCACTGTATCCTATTAGACTTCCCGTCATGGCGTCTGGGAACTTGAGCTTTTAGAACTGAAAGAGCCCTTAAGTGCCTTCTCTAATCCCTACGTTTGTATTTGACGAATCTGAAGTTACGCTGGTGAAATGTTTTATGGAAACTTCCACAGCCCAAATCGATTTGGTTTGGCCAAGAAATACACTGTTCTTGAGGGAAGTAGCTTGTATTACCTTTTCAGCAATTAAATGTCAATTATCAATTTATTAAATGGCCTCTCATCATGAGATCTACCCGCTTTCACATCTGCTGTTACTCCTCACCTCTCCCATCCCACTCCAGCCACACGGGGTGTGCATAAAGCTAACTACCTCACCTGCTTCAAGTCTCTGCTTAGCATGGCCTTTTGCACAAATTTGAAATTTCAGCCCACCTTCCCTTCTTTTTATCTTGACCTACTATATTTTCATGGCACTTAGCACCTTCACCCCACACTCTGCAATATGCATATTGTTATTTATTTTCTCAAATTCCATAGGGCTGAAACCTTTGGCACTCAGTAAGTACTTGTTGACTGAAAGAATACACGATTACACTACAGTTAAGCAAAATTTTAGAGAAAAACCATATGAAATAGTGTACAAACTTGAGAGGAATTGCTAGCTAGGTCATTTTATTTATATGAATAAATCCCTTAGCTCAGTACTTCTCCAACTTTAATGTACAGGTGAATCACCTGGGGTGAGGGGGGCTTGTTACAGTGCAGATTCAAATTCAGGAGCTCTGATTCAGGTTGGGGCTTGAGATGTTATATTCCTAATGAGATACGCAGGGAATGCCAATGCCACTGGCTCTTGGGCCACAGTGAATAGGATGGCTTTAGCTCCATCTAGTCTGTGTTTTGGAGAATATTTTGTTTGATGTGTTTATGATGGCACTCTCTTAGTACATTCAGGCTGCAATAATACTATGGCATGGCTTATGAAAAACAATTTTATTTCTCACAGTTCTGAAAACAGGAAGGCTGAGGTGAGGGTGCCCATCATGGACCACTGAGGGCTCTTTTCTGGGTAACAGACTTCTTGTAACCTCACATGATGGAAGAGGTAGGGATCTCTCAGGAACCTGTTGTACTAGTATCAAGGCACTAATCCCGTTCATGAGGGTTCTACCCTTGTGACTTAAGCACCTCACAAAGGCCCAGCCTCCTAATATCAAACCTTCGAGAGTAAGAATTCAAACATGTGAATTTTGGGTGGACATAGGAAAGGGACCTTCTAGTCACTGTAAGGATGCATGGTTAAATAAGAACCGATCTTTGTTGTTTAGGAGTCTATGGAGTAGAACAGAACATAATATTCAGTTCAGTAAACATAATTGTGGTAGCCATCACAGGTTGGGTTACCCAGGAAGTAGAGTCTGAGGGGGAGATTAGCATGCAAGACATGCTCTTGTATGGTCCTGGGATCAATCCCTGTGAAAGGGAGGTGAGCAGAGGGAGAAGCTGATCTGTAATGCCATCCCAACAAAGGCTTCAGAGACCGCTTGGGTCTGGGATGGCCTTTTAGAGGTGTCTTAAATTGATATGAATGGCTGGGCCTTCAACTGCCAGCGTTGATTAGACATTGGATGCAAACCAATGATTTGGGGCTGTCCATTTCTTTAACTTAGGCTTCTCCAAAGAGTGCTGAGAGCTGAGGGTTTCTGCCAGGATTAGGGAGGGAGCAGATGGGGCTAAGTCTTCTATTCCTGAAGGGGATTGGGCCGAGCTTCACAATCAGTGTCTACCATAGAAGACTAGCCTTTTGAAGCACTGTGCTAGTCACTTGTAGACTGAAGATATTGATTAATTCACTAATATTATTGAGTGCCACTGTGTATGTCCAGCACTGCTGCACAGTGAGATATAGACTTGAGCAAGGCAGATATGGCCCCTGCCCTCATGGAGCTTACAGTCTGCTAAGGGATTAAGCAAACATTAATTAGCCCTAGCTGGCTTGGTTTGGTGGATAAAACGTTGGCCTGCGGACTGAAGAGTCCTGGGTTTGGTTCCAGTCAAGGGCACATGAGAGTGAAAGTAAATCACAATGGAAGGGAAGATGGCTGGGGGTAAGGGGAGCAAAAATAAAAAAAGAAGAAATAACCAGCTCAAGGACAGAAAGTAGAATACTAGAATAATAAGCAAAGATCCCTGGTGAGGAGAGAACAAGAGGCCCAGGTCTTGGAGCTGCAGCTGTAGCCAGAAGCTTGGTGGCGCTTTGTATGCCCGTAACAATGTTCCCTCTCTGTGGCCCCTGAGGACCAGATCACTGGGGACTATTTCCTCTTTGTCCCACACATCTTCACCAGAATCACTTGTCACTAAAGGTAATCTGAGTGTCTTTGTCTCTTGCAACTAAAAGAGCGCACCTAATAATTTCAGGCCATGTGTGGTCAGTCCCATAAAGGACAGCTACCTTGTTCTTTTAGAAAACACTTCTCAACATCACATAAAACATTGGTCTAGATAAACTTGCTAAAAAAAGAACTAGCAATGTAAAGACGTAGTCAATTTGTCTCCAGTACCTTATGCTTCCTCTTTCAGGGCTTCTTCCTCTTTGTCTAAGTGCTTTCGTTCACTGCACCGATGCCCAGTGCCGTCTTGCTGGTTTTTAGATATGGGCAGTCCTGCTTTGAGAACCTGGAACTGCTCTGGTTCACAAGGCTTCAGCTTAAGGACTCTTTCCATCTTGATCTTTGGTCAACATTTCAGTACACAATTCTGTAATCTGCAGGCAGATGCAAAAGGAAAAGGATCCTGGCTTCTTGCCCTTTGGGTTGTAAATTAATTTTTCCACAGGGAAGACAAGACTAGAGTATCCAGCTTGACATTCCAGGAAATATCTATCTCCATTTTTCTGGGGTGGGGGTCATTGCTCCTTGACATAAAAAAACAACAACACACACAACCTGGCCTGAGTGGGTCAGTGGTTGAGTGTCGACCTAGGAGCCAGGAAGTCACAGTTCAATTTCTGGTCAGGGCACATGCCCAGGTTTCAGGCTCAATCCCCAGTGTGGGGGGTGCAAAAGGCAACCGATCAATGATTCACTCTCATCATTGGTGTTTCTATCTCTCTCTCCCTCTCCCTTCCTCTCTGAAATCAATAAAAATATATTAAAACAAAACGCACAGCTCCGGGGAGATAAATCTCTCTGGATTATTAGGTAATCACATATAAATTCACTTCCATGGTTGTTCTTTTTGCTTAGATCCCAAGTGTCAGTAAAATTTTCTCAGAAAATTTAACTGTACAGAAATAAAAGTTTTTTCTACAGCCCACAGTTCCCAGGTTGAACCATCGGCCCACTGTCTTGATCACCACACACACTGCTTAATTGATTCTTGGTCCTGTAGGCATTTGAGTTCGGGACCACTACCTCATATCATCCTTTAAGTAAAGTTAACCTTTGAGAACATTTTAGATGTTGCTTCCTGTCACATGTCATAGGTGAGGACATCCCTTCTTGCTTCCCCACACTTGGCATGCCCTTTGCCCCGTGCCAGCTTTAACCTTCTCTGAAGCACTCCAGATGGCATTCTACACATTGTTTAAAGTCTGCCTCACATCTGGAACAGATGCTCCATGAGGGAACAATCTCTCTAATGACCAGCACATAATTGGTGCTTAATAAATATACTGAATGAAGAAATAAGTGAGTGTGTGATTGAGAGAATGGCGTTAAAAAAAAGTTAACCTTGCCCTGACTGGCTTGGCTCAGTGGATAGAGCGTCGGCCTGCTGACTGAAGGGTCCCAGGTTCGATTCTGGTCAAGGGTAAGAAAAAAAAAGTTAACCTTTAGTGATAGCTTGGTGGCAAGCTGTCATAATCAATACTTTGATCAAAGAATATATATGTGCTACCATCCAGACCTTTAAAAGAGAGTTGAAATATATTAAGTTTGTATGAGTGAAGAATTTATAAGATGATTTTTTTGGACTAGAAATCAAACCAAAAATGAAATGATAATTTCTTACTACTTGCTATAGACTGAATGTCTGTGTCTCCCAAAATTCATATGTTAAATCCTAACTCCCAATATTATGGTATTTGGTGATGGGGCCTTTGAGAGGTGGGAGCCCTCACGAATGGAATTAAAACCCTTATAAAAGAGACCCCAGAGAGCTCCCTTGTCCCTTCACCATGTGAGAAGAAGACAGCTGGCCCTAGCTGGTTTGGCTTAGTGGATAGAGTGTCAGCCTGCAGACTGAAGGGACTTGGGTTCAATTCTGGTCAAGGGCACATACCTTGGTTGCATGTTAGATCCCCAGTCCTGGTTGGGGTATGTGTGGGAGGCAACCAATTGATACGTCTCTCTCACATCAATGTTTCTCTCTCTCTGTCTCTCACCCTCCCTTCCACTTTCTCTCTCTCTCAAAAAAAAAAAAGAAGAAGAAGAAGAAGAGG